CCTAAAAAAATAATTATTCAAGGGGCAAAAAAAACCAAACCATACTGTTTACCTCCAACTTCTGCATTTCATCATTAATGTTACACAGTTCATTGTTAATTTTAGACATTCCTCCAGTTCTCACTCCAACATCAAAGAGCTGCTCATATCCAAAACACCAGCAATCCAAAATCCTGACCAGAAGCCATTTATAACTTGAAAAGATCTTTGATTTCTTGCCTACAGGAAATACTGCCGATCAAAAATAAAACATATATATATATATATATATATGCTCCCATATATCAGTATAGGTGGGGGTCCAGGATTTGGGATAATAGACTGCTGGGAGACGTGGTTTTCAGATTCATATTTCATACTCTGTCTGGTGCTTCACACGTTTATTTTTACTTTCACATCTGACGTGCAGCAATATGGCCAGCGAAGGTGCGCATTTAAAGACACCCCTTTGATATAAATCCATGGAGAAGTGAAATTCACACTGGGATTCGTGTCCTTCCAGCACCCAGGCACTGCTTCCCCACTGCTAACTGCACCACTTACGGATGGCTGGGGGGCAGGGGGAGGCTGCCTCTCCACGGCCCCCCGTTAACAAATCTGCCACCAAAGATTAACGTGATTCTCCTGCTTTGCAAACTCCAGAGAGCACATTTCTCACTTACAAATGGGGGGCAAAAACCACGATAGCCGTTCTTTTTCCACGGAATCCTAACAGGCTTGAATATGTATTTAGAGTTTGTTCTTCGATTTTGCAAGGGAAGGTCTCAACTCTTTGGACAAGAGTTCATCTCTGCAGCTGGGAAGAGCTAATACAAGACAACATTTCACATCACATGTGAAAAGCTCAACAGCTGCGGGAGAAATGCCTTACCCCAATGGCTCTGCCAGCCTGGACTATATGGGATGGTTTTGGATAAACATATTCTGATCTTGAGAAACCAAACAACGAGATGCATATATATTTTATTTTCTACAAGTTAGAGTCCAGATCTAACAAGTTAGGTTACAAACAGTAAGGAATTTAAATACAGCAAATGCTTCTAAAACTACTGGCCCTCCCTACATCAGGAAGTGCTTGGGGAGATCACAGCTTCCAACAGCCATTCGGGTTTTTGCCCAAGAGGTTTATTCCAGGAGTCCTGAGTGAAGGAAAGTACACTGATAACATACTGTTTTGATGAGAGAATGTGTGTTCAGACACTCTCACCAGTGCAGGACACTGGTCAGAAACCACAAACCTTCCCTGCTCTGATCAAAACAGAAAGTAAGAGTTCACTTTGCAGACTGGCTCAGAGGCCTGCAGTGCCCAAGGCATGTGGCTCTGAGCTATGGGCTCAAAGCACTTTTCAGTCACAGGGTGCAGAAAACATTTATAAAAAGCTAAGCCAGGAACTTTTTGTTTTCATATTCTCAAATTTTATTGAGCAGAAATGTTTGAGGATAAGTTTATTGCTTTTACCGGCCACTCTAAAATGGGCCTCCAGCCAACCAGGTCTTTAAAATATGTCTATATCTTACTTTTAAAACAACATTAAGGAAGTTGTATAAGTTTTACATTGGAGTCTAAGTGACTTAGCTGCAAAAGGGACACACTTCAGCTCTAACACAGGCATGGCTTTTGCAACAGCACCTGTTGCACTTGGTACTACTGATCCTATGGCAGGAGACAGATACCCCATGGTTAATTAACTGGTGTTTTAACTCATGACAAATCAAGGCTGAAATTCAGGTGTTACTGAATACACATGCACGAGAATCCAAACTGTGCCTTTACCAGCTGAGGGAGGAATTTGGTGCCCTGTTGGTAAAGTACCAACACTTTGAGCTGAACAGAGCTTGCTTTCTAGTTTCTACCATGACTGTCAATCATTAAACTGGGAAACTGATCAAAAAGTTTGTAAACAACACGTGTTTGTGTATTTGTATACATTTGTGTATATTTGTGTACTGCTATATTTGTAAACGCCAAAGTGTTTACAAATACACTGAGGATGACCCCACACTTTTTTACATGTGGGAGGCACACAGATACAAAAAAAGCTAGCACTGATTTAAAATCCTGCCTGCCCTTAATTGATTTGTGTAACCTGGATTCACAGCACTTAAACTGATTTTAGCACACCTGGACAAAGAGGTGATAAAAAAAGATGAAGCGAGAAGAACACACTCTACATTAGGCCTTGAAAGCTTCAATTAAAATTCAATATTGTGCTTTGTATAGAGGCTCTTAACATGAAAACCCTGTCATGGTTAAGATTTAAGGTTAACCAGGTTAATAGAGTCCAATAAAATAGCTCTGTTGAATTATTCCAAACCATTGTCATGAGCCACACTAAAACCTGGTGCTAAACTTCACCTGTCTATTGGCTAAACTGAATCACAGTAATCACACCCACTTCTCACCAGCCAGAAACAAAGCTTCAAACTCTTTCCCCATTTCTTAAAAAAAAAAAAAAAAGTAATAAAGTTGTTTTTCCACGTTAAAACGTTTCTCTGCTCCAGTCTGCTGCTCCAGCTATCTCAGTCGTGTTAAAAGATCCGTGCAAACCCGCCAGTCCCACTCATCCCAGACACACTTCCCTAAACTTGGGAAATGCTTTGCAAACTACATTTAAGCACCTCCTCTGCTGCAAAGCGCTATGTCCCACGGCCTTTTCAGCCTGAAGTAATAAAACCAAAACCTATGTGCTCCGTAAAATTTAAGCGTTCTTTGTGTTTTTCGCTCTTCCTTCTATAAACCATGACGACAGGCGCATTTTTTCCAGGTACTTTCACCAGCGGAACTGTTTGCGCGCACCCAACATTTTGGA